AAGATAGACTACCAGAACTTTCAGGAATTAACTCTGGAATCAAAAAGGAAGAACTGGATTGAATTATGGTTGAGAGAGTTGGTTCAAAAGAATTGGTTTGAGGTGCCCATCTTGGGATAATCAGATAGATTATCCCAGAATTAATTTCATAGTCATACTTAGCCTTCCAAATTTCCTGAAAATATATGTACTTCTGCAAAACTCAGAGACAGTCATAAGATAAGTGAACAAATTTAATTTTATTTATCAGTAATGCTCTAAGTCATGTACCAAAATTACAAAGACTATTTTCCATAAAAGCATTATTTTCCAGAATTGCCTAGGGTCATTTACATTTTGACAAAAACAATGTTTGTTGTATGTGTGTGTATATATATATATTCACATTTGTCAGGCTGACCTTAAGAGTTTTGAAGAACATCAAAACTGCATGCATCATCAATGTGAGAGACCCCTCAGCATCTTTCATTTTTATTGTCTGAGACACATTCTGGGCATCAATTGGTCTGACGGGGTCATCAATGTTGAAGATCTCACCCATGTCCAGTTACCCCATGAAATAATTTGTTGACAGAAACTGAATATGGTATATTTAGAGATTTCACAGAACACTCACATTCCAAATCTGGCACAAGACCCTTTTAAAATGGTCCAGAAATAGATCAATAGATTTTTATTTTTTTCCAGAAGCAAAACTTCACGGCTAGGTACTTAATACCTTTAACATTTTCCCTACACACACACATAGGATATTCGACAAAGTCTTAAATTGATCAACATAATGAAATAGTTGTTCTTTATAGTCACAAAGTTAATTTCTTGTTTTGTTTTCTGTATATTTCATTTCTTTAAAGGGCACAATGTCGTATAGATTATAAGAAACGAATAAAGACAAAAGGAAAACTTATCTTAGTCAATGTGTTTTATCCTCTGATGGACTTTATTAAGGCAAATGTAAGAATTTTATTTGGCTACAAGTATTTTTTTTTCCAAATTTTTAAATGTAAGAAAACTCATAAATATTAATCAAGTCAACTAAAAGTCAAGGTAAACTATGGGAATTATATAAGTGATGTTATTTAATATCTGATAAATGAAAGTGAATAAATAATTATTTTTGTTGAGATTTTTTTTTTTAATTATGATGTAATTATCATTCATATTATTTTAATTTGAGAAATTTATTTGTCAGTTTTAAATAAGAGGACGCTTTGAATTTAACCGTCTCTTTCAATTTAACTGTTTCATTGAATTTTTCAAATTTTTACAGTCATCTATTTTGGCTTAAGAAAGAGAATATTTCTTTTTTTCCCTTTTTGTCTCAGTCCGAACCGCTTCCAAAAAATCATTATTTTAAACAACAAATAGCATTGGTATATAAGTACTGTTTTTTTTTAATTGAGAAGTAATACACCAGGAAGACAGGAAGGTGTGGAGAGCCACCTCCTGAAGGAAGATGTCATATAAATGACAAAGAAGCATATGGATTACAGAACAAGGACAAAGTGGGATGGTAAATAAAATTTACTTACACCCCCCACCCCCAAAAGAACGGTAATGGTGGAGAGCCATTATCAACACCTTCTGAAAGAACTTAGCATATAAATAGATGTTAGAACAAGAACAGAGAGGGATGTTAATGGTAGAAAAGTTACTTTAAGCAACAATATACATGAAGTTGTGGAGAGCCATGATCAATATAAAAAAAAAAAAAAAAAAAAAAAAAAAAAAGCACAAGATGCATACGGATGACAGAACAAGACTGAAGAGGGGTTACATAGGTTTAAAAGTGACAACAAAAGGCAGATAGTTGAAGAACGTAATGATTGCCACAAAATGTTTTAACACATAAAATAAGTGTATATTTAAAAATCTCTCAACCATTTCCAATTGAAAAGAATATGCTTAAAATACAGCAACTCTTCGAGAATTTTCAATATTTGGTTTTTATGTTCCTCAACATTTAAATGATTAATTCCCAACAGAATACAGTAGAATCCCTGAAAACCAGGCTAAGAAGGCCTTCCAGATATGAGGAATTGGTTACAAAGTCTGGATATAATGTATATATCTAGATTAAAATAAAAGAACTGAAATCAGGTTTAACATTTATTTTCAATGTTTTATAGTAAACAAAATAAGCTAATGGTGAGCGAATTATAACGGAATTGCTTTTAAGGAAAAAGAAATAAATTATGGAATGTTAATGAAAATTCATTAAATTAAGTATGCCGCGTATGCAAAACAAATATTGTAACGAGGATTTTTTAATCACTGTTGCATGATGATTGTTTCTCTTTTAATATCATTCTCAACTTTTTCTGCATTTCGTTTTGCTTTTGTTCTTGAAATTTTTTAAACGAAAGACACTTTTTAACTCTGTGCGTTTTTGCAATAGTCATAGCTGAATGCTGGCTTTCTTTCCATAAAAGTGATAACCTTTTCAATAGCTTTTTCAATTTCATTCCAGGTTTCATCACAATCATGTTTTTTTATTTTTTTTTATTTCCGTGTTCAATGTGACAAGAAAACACTGGAGAATAGTTTCTTTGGAAGATTTTTATATCATACAATGTTGACTTTCCTATGTTGAACTCAGTCATTAGTTACAATGAACTAGTGTCTAGTTTGTTTAAAATTTCCACTTTTTGCAATAACACCAAAGTTGTTCTTTTCCTCTTATCCCCACCATCATCTTTTGCAACAATACAAGCCATTAGGGGGAAATATGTAATTATCCAAAGTAAATTTCCGGAAGAATAAAAATTTCAAATCACTTACATATCATCCACACAGTTCAAATATACACATCAAAATCATGTCCGGATATGAGGGATTCCGGATATGAGGGATTCCGGATATGAGGGATTCCGGATATGAGGGATTCTACTGTATTCCTTTTTTTTTTTTTTTTTTTTTCCTTTTGTCTTTTTTTGTATTGTCTTTTTATAGATATATTCTTAGTTACATCTGAATGACCCAAATATTGTTTGAGGCAGTCTCACAGGTATACCAATCTATAAGTTTATTATCTTTTTAGGTTGTAGGGAGTAGTAATATTAATAAGGAGGCATATTGGTGAGTATATATATATATATATATATTTGTATGTATATATAGATAAAGTAAGTATACATATAAGTATAAACCATTCAGATAGATGAAGAATGAATCTATAAACAAAATGAAAATGTACACAATTATATTCAACTGCGATGAAACCATTTTACTGTCGGAATGTTCGAGAGTATTATTATTCATCTTTTGACAATTTTTTTTTTTTTTTTTTTTTTACACATTTTTGTTGTGTTATCCTGCAACTTGACTGATTTTTATTCAACAACTACTGAGTGGTATGGATCAGAAACTGACAATAAGTGCCTGGTGATATTTAACTCCTTATCCTGTCTTACCATGACAGCACCATACCAATCAGGCTACAAGAGTTTAATCAATAGATGTATCTTAACAATGCTGCCATATTTATTTACACTAGTAATATTAGATGTAATAATCTTAAATCATCTGAACTTTTTTTAGCTGAAGCATTATTATCGGTTTTTGACACATTGTTCTCACCTCATTTTCTTTGCTTTTTTACTGAAACTTATATCTTTTGATATTTTTATGACCATTAATTAAGCATCACATTTAATAAACAAAATTTAATATTAACAACAAAGCAGTTATACTTGAAAAACATATATTGATTAGCTTCTTTAGCCTAACCAGTAATGTGCAATCACAGTAAGACAGATTCAAGTATAAAAGATTACAAGTTCAAAATTCAGTAGAAGTTTATTTCTACCTTTCAATCAAATGTCACTTAATATTTAGGTAATATGCAGAAAAGACCCAAAATTATGCAAGAAATCCTAGCAAAAGATGAATAATAATTGAGAAGGCATTATCAAAGAAATTCGCACAACTTAAGACTATTACTACTTGGTGGAAAAGCAAGAGAAATAAGATGAAAGAAATACTAGTGAAAAATGAATAATAATTGACAAGGCGTCATCTAAGAAATTCAGACAATTTAAAACTTTATTCTCGGAATCAATTTCTTTTTTGTTTTTCCATTCACATGCTTTTCACGTCTGAGTAAAAAAAATCTGAATACTATGTCTATGCCAAAATTGTCATTATATTTTTTTTTATGTACAATTCATACAAGAAATGCAAAAATATTTGAGATAGGGTAGACGTGGATAGAGCATAATAATTGTCAAAGGGCCAATCTCAACACCAAATGTCATTTACCTGAAAACTGACGTCACTGAAAACGTTAAATCAAATCTGCTTTTTATGCTTCATTTCAAAAAAAAAAAAAAAAAAAAAAAAAATTAAAGGGAGATAACTTACATCTGATTAGTGATTTTTTTAAAAAAAAATTACCGTATATAAGCCTATTGATTATTTCATATGTAGTGCGACCCTTATTTCTTGCGTGAAAAACCATATTTTTTTCATACATCTCATATACAATGTAACCCCAGCTTCTGGGCTATACTAGTACGCCTGCAGTAGTCAAATATTTAAGTTCTGGGCATCATCTGGACATATTTTATATAGCAAATAAATGGTCTTTATTCTTTTTTTGTACTGTTGAACTAGAGTCAAATGTACTGTGAGAATGTAAGCCAAGGTCACCGAAAATACATGAATTTTAACCACTCCAGAAAAAAAATTGTGTGTTTAGAGCAACCCTCCTTCTTTTTTTTTATATTCGAATATATACAGTATCATTTAAAAATGGTTTATTTAAGATAATGAATGAATACCGTTTTCCATAAATTCCTCACTGAAGTCTTCATTTATATAATCTTTTAGTAATCCAAATCGTACTATTTAACACATAGCTGGGGGGAGAAGAGGTGGATTCATCTTTTTCCAAGGATATTTGCATGTAAGTGAATATAATTAACACAATGAGAACTGGAACTTAGCTCTCCAATTAACAATTCCTAGCCATTATCTATTACACCATCGACACATTCAAGCTTACAGTACCTGGTATTCCCAAGCAGTCACCCATCTAGGTTCTGACCAGGCTTTATTTTGCTTAACTTCAGTGATCATATGGGAATTGGTGTTTCAATGTGATGTGGTTGTAAGCCTCTTGTTTCTTAATAATGTTTATCCTTTTCTTATATTTTTCAGTCTATAACCCCTATGAATCTCAGTGGCTTTATTGCCTTGCTTCGAGGGAAATGAATAAAAAGAAAAAAGTGTACCCTTCAATGAAGTGATGATTTAATTTAATATTTTAGTTTGTGGGGATACAAAAGACAATTATCTCTCTTTGGTCAAGAAAAGTCACATAGATCATGTGACAGCCACTTAGTGGTTGGTCATTCAGTTGGTTTACAGGAGTCAAAACCTAGCAGTTGCTTTTTTTAGCCCTAAATCTGTCTCCTCCAGTCCATGGTGCCATTTCCCTTTGGGAATATCTCTTCCCAATGTAAAGAATCTTCGGTTGGTAGTCCACAATGTGGAAAAACCCAAAACTCTCTGTTTCCTGTTCATGAAATATATCCTCACCTGGGATATGGTAGATTAATCCAGTCTGTTTGAATCTGGAGTCCTAAACATGGCTTATCCAGAAACACAGAAGAATCTCCATAATATAAGTAAGACCGTACCTATTCATTCTCTTTTCATCCTGCTTGCTGTGTAGATATACATTATATTTTTCTCTGCGTGGGATATATTAAATATGTATATATAGTTTTGTGTATGACTTACTAAAATAAAAGTCTTTGAGAAGAAGGTGTGCTTGCCATTTCTTTTCCTTTCAGCCATTCTATTTTGTCTGTGAAATATGGTGTTATTATATCATGGATTAATAATGCACATAATGAGAGAAATGCAAAAGAGAGAATAAACCAGTCTTCTATAGCTCTCTCTCTCTCCATTATATTGGTGACCACAACATATTGTTTACCTGACATGTATTATTATCACCCAATTAACTGTAGGACATGATGTATTATTATTTATCTCCATTAAGTTGAAGCCAGTTTTCAGATAAATGACATTCCCACTGTTATGAACCAGATCCATAATTATCCAAAAAGCCAGTAGTCATTCTGTTTTATGATTAGAATTGCATTAATATCTTTAATAGATAAGTCAGGAATTAATAATTGAAAATGACAATTCTAAAGTGCAAAATATTGATCAAGGAAATCATGCTGATTAATAGTATAAGAACAAGATTCTTTAGACAAACCACAAGAAAAGAAAGATGCTATCAAAAAATAATTGTGTTAATAATTGTAAACCTTTTTGCCTCAATGGGTAACAATATAAATACTTCCTGAATTTTACACGTAATAAAATTGTGACTAATCAAAGGGTCCTGTTAAAAAAGAACCATCAGTCTACTATGAAGAAAAGTGTCAGGAAGGTCATCTGGCTGCAAAAATATTGATATAAATGGATTATTATTTTTTTTTTTTTAATATTTCTTATTTATGGTGCAGTGTTTAAAGTGATGAATTTCTATGATTTATAAAATTTTATACTAACTAAAATTGGTCAATAATTAAAGCTGACCAGACAATGTGAGTAGAAACTGAGGAAGATGGAAACCGAGTCAATGGCAACATGATGGAAGGATGAAATTGTCGATCATGAGAATAATGTTTAATATATCGACTAGTTGATGATCTTTACAAGAGTGAGGTAAAGGATGGGTAGGATAAAAGAAAGAAAAATGCCTCCTGGTATTATCAAAAATGGTAAACCATTTTCAGCAGCATAGAAAATAAGATATATCCAAAGAAAACAAATATTATATTAAAGAGTAAGGAAGTTCTTCCGTGTAAGAAACCAAAAAGGAATATTAAAAATTTGTGTCCTTCACACAAAAAAAATTATTTTCAGAACCCCAAAATCAATTACAGTTGAGTAAGAGTTTGGTGAAAATCTTTTTGAGAATCACAGAAGATCCTTAAAAAAAAAATCTTTAAAAGAATAAGAGTGAAAGAAAAAGTCATCACCCACCCTCTTCACCCACAGGCTTTCCGGTAAACACAAAAACACTTCTGGTAAACACACAAAAAAAAAAAAAAAAAAAATTTTTTTTTTTTTACTTACATTTCTTCAGAAAAAAAATCTTTAAAAGAATAAGAGTGAAAGAAAAAGTCATCACCCACCCTCTTCACCCACAGGCTTTCCGGTAAACACAAAAACACTTCTGGTAAACACACAAAAAAAAAAAAAAAAAAAAAAAAAAATTTGCTTGATTTTTTTTTTTTTTAGTATATTTTTAAAAATTTTTAGTATATTATTTAGTATATTTTAGTATATTTTTAAAAGTTGGTAAATAATAAGTGTACCCCAAATCTCTGTTTTACCCGTTCTATATATTTAAAAAAAAAAAAAAAAAAAGAAACTTACACATTTTGTAATGAATTTACCAAGGAGGAATTTTAATAATGCAAATTTCTCCACAGATCTCAAAACTTGTAGTTCATCACAATGCACTTTTTTGTCTTTTCATCAAAAAATTATTTCCGGGAATAAATGCATCCAGATTCCATTTTCGGTCTATTTAAATGATTGTGCATAGAGAAAAATCTTATTTTACAATGATCTGAACCAGTTGCCAAAGTACAAAAGGTTTGAAAGTTAAGTCCAAGAAATAGAAATTTAAATTAGGATTATTTATAAAACCATGACATTGATGGCAATGTTTTGAAGATTCTAACATTGTTCAAAGTGACATCATCATTTTATGCTTTCATCTCAACATCAGATGAGCTACTAAAAGACTTAAATGATGTTAAAAACATATTACTTAAAAAGAGTAAATTTACTTTATTTGATTTGACTATTTTAATAGGGATTTAAAGTTGACTTAAAAGAGAGTCTGCTTTTAAAATATTTTAATAAAAGTAAAGCTTTAAATGCTTTATAGATTAGTATTATTAGTATTATTTAAAACTTAAAAATTTTGTAGTATCAAATCATATACAAGAAAAAAATAGAATCAATAAAAAAAACAAACACACAACTTCCCTCCCACAAAAAAGTACACACACAATCTCCCTCTTACAAAAATGTACACACACAACCTTCCTCCCAAAAGTATACACACACGCAATCCCCACAAAGCACCCCCTCTGCAAAAAAAATAGACAACCTAAAAAATAAAGGCATATACAAACACAAGACCTCCGCCAGAAAGAAAAAGCATATACACACAACTGCCCACACATATACAGCAAAAAATAAAAGAAACAAAAAACACATACAAAAAGCAATACAGTAGGGGGGGTGTAGGACCAGCTATTGGTAGTGGTTATGTAAATCTCAAACTAATAACCAAACAGAAGTTCCCTTTTTAACTGTCTTTGCTGATTTTAGCAGAACAGAATTCTTTGCTGATTTTAGCAGAACAGAATTCTTGATAGAATCAAAGCAAAAAAAAGAGAAATAATCATTGTAAAATTCTATGTGCACAATCCTGAAAATAAATCAAAGATTAACAGAATCTGAAGATTAAAGGCTCTTAAATATTTTCTTCTTTTTTTTTTTTCTTTCTCTTTTCTTCCCACGATTTGAAAACCATTCAATCTTTTGCTTTTTTTGGTTGAAAACACTCACACAGATAAAAATTAGATACACTTCTGTTGAGAAATATCACAATCATTTAAATTATTTGAAAGGGGAGTATATTTGAAAATCACTTTCCAGAAAGAAAATTTAAAATGTCACATCAATATGCAATCACATCTTCTAATTCAGAATTAAATTTAAAAAAACAAAAAAAACAAAAACAAAACAAATGTCAAAAAGCTTTTTTCTAATTAAAATAAAACTACTCAAAATACTTAAAATTTTTAAAGAATTTAAAATTCAAATTGTATTTACGAAAAGGTACTATCTGTAATTTTGAGAAAAATCCTTCTTTTTAAGATTTCTTTGGATTATTGAAACATCAATAAAGATGTGTTCAATCATCCAGGATAAAGAAAATATTTAAAAAACTGATAATTTTATATAATTTAAAAAAAAAAAAAAAAATTTTAAGAAAATTTTTAAAAAAAAAAAAATTTTTTTTGGTAAATTATGCTTAAAATTTAATTTTTAAGTTATCACAATAAACAATTGTTTAAAATTTTTTTCTTTTTTTTAAATTTAAAAATATGTTTATAAATTAAAAAGAATAACTTCACAATGTTCAAATTTAAAAAGAATTTAAAAAATAAAAAGCAAAAAAAAAGAAAAAAAGAAAAGAAAACAAAATAAGCAGCTTGGTTTGTTTTAACTGGCTTTTTACATCTTTCTTTCCAAGCAAACTTTAAAGTGGCGTTTTTTTTGGGGTTTTTTTCTCCCTCTTCGTAAGAATTTTTTTTTTCTTTTTCCTCTCCAGGGCAGCCGGCTTGCATTTTTGTAGTAGCACGGCATTTTTTTTTTTTTTTTTTAAAAAAAAAAAAAAAAATTTTTTTTTTTTTTTTTTTTTTTTAAATTCGGTTTTCAAGATCATTAACTTTTGTCCACTTTAAGCAAAATGTAGCCAGCCAACTTCGGTAAGGTTTCACCAATATGCTGCATTGTAACCTGGTCCACCCTGGAATTAGACAGAGCTCTTATAATAACTGGATGGACTTAAACAACAAGAGACTATATTTGGGACAAATAAAATATCAAATGGGAGAAAGTTTCTTCAAATACATCTGCAGGTGTCTTCACTAACACACTCTACTCCCACCCATAAGTTCCAACAGCAGCAGTTATTTCACCTCACCATAAAGGTATAAAAAAAAAAAAAAAAAAAAAAAATGGATGCCATATATGCAGAGCTTCATAAACAAATAAAACATACTAAAAAATAACTTTAAAGTTTGCATATATTAATAAAACAAAACTTTAATAATACCAATGCTGTTAATTCATTTGAACTTATTAAAAATTTATTGCCTAGACTTTTCCGATCATGTTTCATTTGTCAGAAAAAGGATTTTAAATTTTTAATAAAATGAAATATTGTATTTTCCAGCTTATAAGACGCACTTTTTTTCCTGAAAAATATGTGTGTGTTTTCCAAGATGAATGTAAGGCAACACCTATGCTCAAGTAAGCTTGGACGGTCAACTA